CAAGTGGCTTACATGAGCTAGGAAGTCCATGCTATTACTGTCATTGTGACCCAATCTATACCAACTAGCTGGTCTGACCCTGCAAATGCAGGGGATATATCACATAAAGCATTCCTCTTTTTATTGAGCCTCAAAAGAAACCAGGAAGCAGGTGTCTAGACATCAGCAGTGTAGAGGTGAGAGCCAGATGAGTCCGTATCCACTGTGAGTCGTGGAATGTTACACTGTAAGGGCAAATGATAGCTTTTGTTTTGTTTTGTTTCGTTTTTAGGGCAAATGATATCTTACTGTGGTCCTCTGACCCAGTATTCCACACCTCATTTAAATATTGTCAGTGCCGCCACTGATGTAGGCATGAAAAAATGAGAGGCTTCAATTAGAACAAACGTGCTGTAGTGATGCATTTCAGAGACATTTATTGCAATCCTCATAGCAGGATCCTGATGGAGAACAAAGAAATTTAAGCTCAGAGCTACTTGAGCACTCTTCCTTTAGGAAACAGGGCATCTCCTACTTCCTGATGTCACGTGTTCTCTCTTCAACCTCTTGGTGACTGCGTAGCCTCACCTGGTTGCCTGATGCTTGTTAGATTCAGAGCTTCCAGCTAGGCATTGTGCAGAAAGAGAGGAGCAATCCACACCAAGATAAGAAAACCTTGCTTAGGAGGAGGACAGAATGATTGCAAACACTATGAGAATAAACGCTACACCTGTTACATTTGGTGAAGTATTTCCACCATATGATCCAGTGCAGAAACATGGCAGGCACTCAATGAGTTTTTAGTTTTTCACTCAAAATTAAATTAAAATAAGGAGATGACCTTTATATGAAGAGACGAAAGGCTTACTGAGTCGAGAGGAGGGAGAAGCGAACTGTCTAGGGTGTGTGAATTGATACAGAGTGGAAGAGGTGGCAGACACTGGCAACTGAGTGGCAGACCTGGGCTGGTGCAAGGTGTCCTGACTCCTAACCAGTTGCGCATTTCCGCACACTGCACCACCCTGACTGTGAACTTGGGAATGGAGGGTGTGGGTCATGGTGGTTCCCCTCCGGGTATCTCAAGGCTCTCTGCCCTCTGTGCTGGCAGTATTTGCCAATGCAGGTGAGGGCATGCTGAATAACGCCCCCCATAACAGGGTTTGACTGCAGGTGGTGGATTTTGTGTGAGTGATACAGTGGCAAATATGTTATTCCTTTTAATTTTTTCAAGGTTTACTGAGGTATAGTTCATAAATAGAAATTATATTTAATGTGTACAGTGGGATGTTTTGATATATGTATACACTGTGAAATGATTACTGTCATCAAGCTAATTAACATAATCATCACCACATAGTTACCTTGTATGTGCATGTGTGCACGCACGTGTGTGTGTGTGTGTGTGGTGAGAACACAAGATCTACTCTCTTAGCAAATTTCCAGGATGCAATACACTGTTATACACTATAGTCACCAAGCTAACTATACATAAGATCTCATATTCATCTCATAGCTAAAAGTATGCACCCTTCCACCCGAATCCCCCAATCTCCCTCATCCCCCAGTCCTTGGCAACCTCTTTTTTACTTTTTTTGTTTCTATAAGTTGGACTTATTTAGATTTCACATGTAAGGGAGATCATGCAGTATTTGTCTTTCTGGGGAACAGGTTTTAAAACCAACAACTTGTTCCAGTGATTCCCCTCCTTTGAGTGTGATGGTGACACCTTGTGTCAGTGACAGTCCTCGCGGGGAGGCTGAGGCAGGGCCATCTGGAAAGTGGAGGTCAGTGTGGGACTCCCTGCAACTGATGCAACAGCAGAGTCCACACCTGGAGCTGCTACCAGATTCTCTTCCAAAACTGTGTCCCCCTCTGTGGGGTGGGTGGTGAAGTCTCCTGTTCATTAAGCCCCAGGGCAAGCTCCCCTCTGCATGAGGATGGAGACTCAAGACTCAGTAGGGCAGAAATACCTCTCCGTTCCTGGGTTGCTGCAGCAAGCTTTCCCTCCTAGAGATGAGTTTGGGCTTCTTCATCCAGCTCAGTGTCTGGCCAGCCAGGCTCCCTTGATATCTGACACAATTTCATCACAATGACGGAGGTGACAGTGGGACTTAAAGTCTTCATCTTCCATGCCCTTGTGACTGACAGTCAAAAAAGTATTCATTCGCAGAAATTGGTCATGTTCTATGTCTGAGGCACCATGAGACCTTCCAAGCCCCGCCCAGGCATCACTGCCTTCTTCCAGCTTCCTTTGCTCCTGTATTGCAGAGTCCCCTGTATCCCTCCCTCATGCAGCCTAGGGCTACTCACTGTGGGCTCGAATTTTCTGGTCCTTGTTATCTCTCTTCTACTACATCAAAATTCTATGACCAAGGTGAAAAAAGCAGTAGACGTTGAAACTTGAGTCCACTGAAGCCCTCATGAGCTGGTAAACAGATTCTGTCTTCCTTGATGCAAAATCAATGACCTAGAACTTTAGCTGAGTTTCTCCAGACAGCCTACCCTGAGACCCATCTCTGTCCCCTAAAAATTTCAGAATGTTCTATCTTCTAGCCCAACTGAACCTCCATAAGGTGTGTGTGCTCTGCAGCTGTGAGGGCCATTGCCATCAGCACCTACCTGTGAAGCAGGAATAATGCTGTCCCTCCATCCTCATGGCCCCAGAATGTTTTCCCACCGGACTGAGTTGAAGCCAGTTGAGTGGAACCACTTCTTTTACTCAAGCATCTTGGAATAGCAGTCTCGGGAATCCAGACTCCCTACTTGGCTCTGGGCTGCCTCCTCAGAGCTATTAGTCAGCCAAATTAATGGCACATCTATAACTGGCACAACAGCTTGTGTCTGGGTTCTGGTATATTTATCCAGTAAATGTTCTGTAAAATCATATTATGAAATTAAAACAAGATCTTAATAAATCACAGTGGATGAGATTTACCAACAGGATTAGGAAGACATTTTTGGAGGCAGGGATTGTGCTGGTTTCCGAAGGTGTGCCTTGCTTGTCACTGCTAAATGCTGCTCGGTAGTCCCTGGAGTGCCCGAGAGCTTTGTGGCTCCACAGCTCAGCAAGGGTGTCCTGGGGCTGATCCGAGTTGTGAAATGTTCCTTACGTCTCATTGGTTGTCAGGCTCTCACTCCTCTCTGAAAGACACCCAGCTCTTGACCACTTTTCCCCTTGGTGCTCATGCTCAGGTCCTCAAAACAGATGATTACAGTAGCCTCTTTACTCATCACGTGTCATGACATTACACAGGCTCTGATTTATTTATTTATTGTGCACTCAGCCCTGTCATGACACATTTCCCCAAAGTCCACCTTCCAATCAGCCTCCTACCCCCACACTCACGTTTCTGCATGTTCCTGGACTAAGTAAGGTACATAGGAGGTCACCTTGTCCTCTGGCTGTGGATTGGATTTAACTAACTGGGGGCTGGGGGGAAGCAAGGAAACCAGGATGAGAAAGGAGGATGGGTCAGTATTTAATTTGCCACTGCTTTTTTGTTGGGCCATCTCAGCCTGGTTGTTTCCCTCCAACAGAGGTCAAAGCTCCTCTTAAAGAGGACTTCTCTCCATGACACTGTCCTTCTGATGCTAGAAACAACTCCCTCCCAAATCCCCTTGGTCCTGGTACGGTCACTAGAACCAGGTTACTGCCCTACCTATGGGCCTGCAGAACACTCCTTGCTAATAAGTGATAAAATAAAAACTTCAGCTAAATTAAGTTTAGAAGAGTTTAATTGAGCAATGAACAATTAATGAATCAGGCAGCCTCCTGAGCCAGAGTAGGCTCTGAGACTCCAGAGCAGCCACGTGGAGGAAGATGAATGGACAGCAAAAGGAAAGTAATGTGCAGAAAACAGAAGTGAGGTACAGAGACATTTCATTGGTTACAGGTAGGTGAACACAGTTTTGAAGCAGGAGCGGCCACGAACAAACCTCTCAAACAACTAACTGGGTAGGAAGTGGCTTTCTATTTGTCCGGGAGTCTCAGCGGACTTGTGTCTCAAGAACCGAGCTCCCCAGTCAAGAAAATCCTAGCCCTTTTAAAGGCTTACAATTCTAGACAGTGCATGTGAGAGGGTCGTGATTGATGAAGTAGGCATGGGATATGTGAGTAGGTGGGGGTTTGAGCAAGACTGAGCCAGAACAATGCTTTCTGGCCGGACGCGGTGGCTCACACCTGTAATCCCAGCACTCTGGGAGGCTGAGGCTGGCGGATCACAAGGTCAAGAGATCGAGACCATCCTGGCCAACATGGTAAAACCCTGTCTCTACTAAAAATACAAAAAAAAAAAATTAGCTGGGTGTGGTGGCAAGTGCCTGTGGTCCCAGCTACTCAGGAGGCTGAGGCAGAAGGATCACTTGAACCCAGGAGGCGGAGGTTGCAGTGAGCCGAGATTTTGCCACTGCACTCCAGCCTGGAGACAGAGCAAGTCTCGGTCTCAAAAAAAAGAAAAAGAGAACAATGCTTTATGGAGGGTGTTTCTCCATATTATGCCTGTGATCTCCAGATAGGAGTACGATTAAGGGTGGGGATTTTAATCTTTAACCTCCAGGCCTGGTCAGTGGCGCCAGCCGACCTTGCCACTGACCTCATGCCTGCTATGTCTCAACTTTTACTTCTCCTTTTGAAATGCAAGGCTAAGAGGAAGTGATGTTAGAAGCTTAAGAGGAAGGGGTCTCCTTCCTCAGTTTGAACACTCAGCAGTGTGTGAGCAGTTGAAGTATGGCTGCTGGGATTGGCTGAGACTCCACTATTGCTACAGGCACAGACTCCTAAATTAGGTTTTCTAATCTTGTCTAACTACTAAGTTAGGTTACAGTTGGTCCACATGGACTCAAATATGGAAGTAGGGAGTCCTTCTCAGGCCATATTCATTTTCACTATAATAGTCTGTTTACTGAATTGTCCCTTTCTTATTCTAATTAGAGTTGACCATGCTTTTCCTGACCAGCCATAGACTAGGACACTTATTTTTCTAAATAATGTGAAGCCCAAATGGGCTTCACTTTAAACTCACGAACTTTTTTCTCAAAGAGCAGAGCCAGTCTAGGAAACTCCCAGGAAGGAAGCCTCACTCTTCTGGTTCCTCCAAATTTTCGACCATAGGTCTTTGTGGCTGAGATGTTGGAAAACAGGTTTGTCAGTGTCATAGACACAACATCCTTCATCCTAGAGCAGGGGCAGGGAGGAGAAGAGTGGAGAGTGTAAGGCTGGTTGCCTCGCCGGGAGGCCGGGCACACCCACTTCTGCACTCAGCATGTGACTCTGCACCCTGCACCAGGCTCTGCACTCAGCTCCCAGCTCTGCCGCATGGCTCCCCTGGAAGGCTCTGGCTGATGCAACCCTGGCTGGCTCTTGCACTGGAAAACCCGTCCAACAATCTGCCAACCAATAGCAGCCTGCCCCATCTCAATCCTGCTTTCCTGGAGCCAATCAGAGCACCCAGCTGTTGCTTGTTAACCTATAGCCACAAACCGCCCCCTCTCCGCCCCTGAAGTCAGTGCGACTTCTCTGGCCCCCTTTCCCTGGACCAGAGAACCTCGCCCAGAGCTGAATAAATAGGCATTTAATTTTCTTATACTGGCCTCAGTTTCCTCGTTTTAAACTCGGCAATAACCCTTACAGAGAGGAGGCATAGAGGTGGGAAAGGAAGATAGGACAGAATGGTTCCTGACAGAGGTTTCAACCTCTGGGTGAGGCTGAGGAATCCCCTGTGGGTGTGTCACGTGGAGCTGCAAGGGAAGGACATGTCTAGCAAGAGGAAGGCATCCTGGATGCCGGACTTCGAGCAGTTACTCTCATGCTGCAGGGAAGATTCACAGAGATTCCCTATTCAGTAGGAGGGGTTCCTTGACATCTGAGAGAGGAGGACAGGTAGGTTCAGAGGGGGAAATGGCAGCTCGCACTTTCATCAGCTCCTGTGCTCCCGGTGCCTGAAGGCAGAGTATGCCTTCCCCATGAGTCATCAGCACTCAGGAGCAGAAAATCAGAGCTTGGCTCCCTCCTGGGTGTGTGATCAGCTGCCAGACCCTGAGCGGAGCGTTTCTCACCCAGGCCTTTTCTGCACAGATGCGCTTCCTTCTTCTCTCTCTTTCCCCTATTACGTTTCTTTTTTTTTTTTTTTTTTCATTCTTCTCTCTCTCAGTCTGACTGCTGGGATAGTCATCTTTCCCAAAACCAGGTCACTTGAGCCCCTTCCCACTTGTACTGTCACTCCATTCAGGAGGGCAATTCCGAAGCATCAAGCACGTTCATATGCAAATTGCACATCCTAAGAGCTCCCTTTTGTCCCTAAGGAAAAAGCCCAACACCCCGGGGAGACACTGAAGGCCCTTCTCTCCCTGGCTCCTGTCCTCTTTCGAATCTCCCCATATCTCCCTGTGCACCTTACACACACCCAAGCAGCCTGTAAGCCCCAGGAACACCCTCTATTTCCATCCCGAATGCTTTCACCGGGAGATTCCTTCCATAGAATGTCTCTTCCCCATTCTTCCTTGTAGCCCCATTGCCTTTTCCTCTATGTAATTTTCACTTCACGCCTTCGCTGGTGTTTTCTCAGTATTTCGTATCAATCGTTTTCTCTTCCGCATTTATAATTTCTTCTGTCTTCCCTTTATTAGTCGGGAGAGGCACCATCCTCACAGCATTCTAAGCTGGAAACTGAAAACAGAAAACTGCCTTTGCCTGGTCTCTCCTCCTCCCTCCTAGCTAACCAGCCATCCAGATCTCACTGATTTAGCCTCGAAAGATTTCTCAAATCCATTCCTCTCTCCCTTCCTGCCACATTGCCCTACTCCAGATGCTCGTCATTTCTCTCCCGGACCATCACAACAGCCTTATAATTGGTTTCCATGCCTCCGGTCTTTCTCCTCTCTACTCTGTTTTCCATTCTGCAGTCACCCTGTACTCTTCCAATCTGTCTAAAGCACACATCTGACCTTGTCGCTCGCTCCGCAGCTGAAACCACCTTCACCCGACGAATACAGTTTAAGTTCCCCAGTCCGCATATGGCCAGAGCCCCACTTCTTCAGCCTCATGGTTAGCCCCTGCTCTTCAACTTCTCCCTCCTGAGCACGTGATGTCCAGTGCGGCCCAGGACACGTCACGCCCATCTATCATATGAAGCCCACTGTCCAGGAAATGCCTCTCACTCTGCAACACACACACATGCACACACACTCACACATGCTCACTTACACACAGTCTTTTCGGCTTGGTGAAATCCTGGATCTTCAAATCTCACTTCCATTCTTGCTCCACAGTCCACTCCTAACTGGCCATAGGTATAGCATATTTTCAGAGTTCTCAACATAAAAACAAACCCTTCTTCAGATGTCACCCCCATTCAGCCCTTCTCCACCCCTTAATTTCCACCTGAAGATACTGGCCCCTCTCCTACACGTTCCTTCATTCCTTCCACACACTGAAGTATATAATTAAGGCAGTTGTCAACATCGTCACTTGTAAGATTGTCTTTCTCGCTGGAATGAATGTGAGCTCACTAGAGGACACGTACAATTTTGGATTTATGCCCTAGTGGGTGTCCGAGATGAGTTTGTCTCTCTTATGTCTACAGCAAAATTTTATTTTGTTTAAAGCATAGTTATTTTTTTCTTCCCTCTCCTCATTACCCAAGAGCTCCTTGGGGCCAGGGATATTTTCTTGCTGGTCTCTCAGTCTTTGTGTCCCGACATCCAACTACCACTCAAGGAAGGTGGAAATGTGGGATCAGAACCCAGGGCTTGGCTCCAGACAGCCCATCTCCAATAGAGGCACAAGCAGTGGGCCCAGATGTAACTTCTGTAACTGACCCAGGTGAGAACAGACAGGGAGCAAACTGAGTAATGGACTAAAAAGCAAGGAACTCTTTGGGAATCCAAGGCGGGCAGATCACGAGGTCAGAAGATCGAGATCATCTTGGCCAACGTGGTCTCTACAACAACCGTCTACAAAACCCCGTCTCTACAACAAATTCAGATCTTCTCGCTGGTGTGGCCTGTCTGCTAGAGCAGGGGGACTCTGCCTTGGTCTGTGTGTCCTGGATGAAGCCACCTGGGATCTGGAAACACAGCTAGGAGAGTCCAGAAGGGGCAGAGGACTGACCCCACATTTGCATAGCAAGAAGCTCTAATGTCACCCTTCACCTAGGTCATCTTTCTGTGTGTAAAAGAACTCTTTGTCCAAACCTGATCACCTCTCAAAGGCCCATCTGTAAATGCCATCACATCGTGGGTAAGGACTTCCACAGGTGAACTTGGGGAAACACAGCTTAGTCCATAGCCACCCTTACTATGAAAGGCATCAGAGCGATGAGACATCTCCTAGGCTCTCTCCAACAGGGATGTGTTTTCACTCTCAGAATATAGATGTTAGGGGTCCAGCACAACCTGCTTCCTCCCCAAATTCTCTTTCAGACACTCTGGGAGAACTTGAGCAAGGGTGAACGCCTCACCAGCACCCAGCCAGGCACCCATGGGCACCCTGGCCACAGGCCACCAGCCACCGTAGCAGTAAGACAATAGAAAATGCATTTCAGTTGTTTCAGCCAAAGATCATACCTTGCGTGCACATTGGTTTCCTATTCAAGAGACCTGATAACCCCTCGGGGTGCTACGTAAGCCCTTGACCTCGTGTTGGTAGGAGGCGTCCTTGCTCAGTGCCTGCCCAGGTGTTACGCTCTGCCCCATGGGCTGCAGTAGGGATGGCACCGTGTCTGAGGGGCTGAAGAAGAGACCCAAGACAGCAACCAAGACACAGGGTTTACTGACGGAACTTGCACAGAGGGTGGTCCAGTAGCAGCAGGCTGGACAGGAGAAGCGCTGCAGTTTGTAGAAAGCATGCCGTTCATACAGCATTTCGCACAGCACCCTCTGCTCAACCCAGGACAAAGGGCCTCGACTCCCTGTCCAGACTGGGTTCCAAAGGATGGAACAGGGGTTCAGACAGATAAGGAGTAGATTTACCCCTTCCCTCCCCTTCCCCTCTCCCCTCCCCTCCCCTTCTCCCCTCCCTCCTCTCCTCTTCCCCCTTCCCTCACCCCTTCCCTCCCCTCCCCTTCCCTTCCTTTCTTTCTGACAGTCTTTTTTTTTTTTTTTTTTTTTTTGAGTTGGAGTTTCGCTCCTGCTACCCAGGCTGGAGTGCAATGGCGCGATCTCGGCTCACCACAACCTCCGCCTCCTGGGTTCAGGCAATTCTCCTACCTCAGCCTCCTGAGTAGCTGGGATTACAGGCACGTGCTACCATGCCCAACTAATGTTTTGTATTTTTAGTAGAGATGGGGTTTCTCAATGTTGGTCAGGCTGGTCTCGAACTCCCGACCTCAGGTGATCTGCCCACCTTGGCCTCCCAAAGTGCTGGGATTATAGGAGTGAGCCACTGTGCCCGGCCTCTAGAACACTTTTCTTACTGATGAAGGTAAGTGTTATGAAACAGAGTGTCATGGGAATCAAAGTAAAAGAGAAAAAACTATTCACCTTAGACAATCAGAGTAGGTCACTATCCTGATGTCCTGACAGATCTTTCTACCTGCCTGCCTGAGGTCTCCGCGTAGGTATCTCAAACCAAACTCATGATCCGGCTTCTATAAATCCCATGCTTCTCCCCATTCTCTCTCGGCAGGGTCTTCCCTGTCTGGGTCTGCCTGGCCATAGAGAAATGTATTTACGGTGTCTTTGTCTTTCTCTCCAGCACTTGAGTCAGCCTGTAGTGTCACACCTATGTATGTGCTCATTTAATGAGTGTCTACCTCCCCCAATCTTTGGTAGCACCCTGAGAACACACATGTAATGTTCCTGCTCATCAGCGTAGTCTCAGAACTAATTTAATTCCTGGCACCGAGGAGTCTCAAAATAAGTGATGCTGAATAAATGCCTGAAGGAACAAAGAAGCGAGTGTGTGGACTGGTTTCAGAACTCACCCTTGATTGAGAGGTTACAATGCGTAGAAGTGGAGGAAAAGCATTTTCAGGGTGAAAGGAATCAGAAGAGCAAAGTCACTGCAGCATGGATCCTTGATGGAATCCTGGAATGGAAACAAGACATTGGCGGAAAAACAAGGCACTTGGTGAGATCTAAATGAAGTCTGGAGTTTAGTGGAGAGTGACGTGCCCATGTTAATTTCTTAGTTTTGGCAGATATGCCCTGGGAATTTAAGATGTCAACATTATGGAAAGCTGCTGAGGGGTAGAGGGGAACTCTCTGTACCATCTTTGCAACAGCTTCTGCTGTAAGCTAAAATTATTATAAAATTGAACATTTATTTTTAAAAAATGAACTTTCTTTTTGCCCCAGAGAAAACAGAGACCATCTCAGTCAAATTAAAGCAAGTCTTAGGCCAGGCACGGTGGTTCATGCCTATAATTCCAGCACTTTGAGAGGCCAAGGCAGGTTGGATCACCTGAGGTCGGGAGTTAAAGACCAGCCTGACCAACACGGAGAAACCCCACCTCTACAAAAAATACAAAATTAACCAGGTATGGGGGGTGCATGCCTGTAATCCCAGCTACTCGGGAGGCTGAGGCAGGAGAATTGCTTGAACCCGGGAGGCAGAGGTTACAGTGAGCCGAGATCGCGCCATTGCACCATTGACTGGGCAACAAGAGCGAAAGTCCATCTCAAAAAAGAAAAATAAAGACAATAAAATAAAGCAAGTTTTACTAGTTATGACCAGTCTCAGAGCTTTGGTCCTGGAGTCCTTGGAATTAATCAGAGCAACAAGCTTAAGTGTGTTTTTCTTAAAAAAAAAAAAAAAAAAAAGTGAGGGGTGAGATTCACGGTGGGCCGCAGCTGGGGTGTTCAGGGCATGTCTCTGATAGGTGAGGCACAGACCACCAGAGCTCCATTTTTCCTCCCCAGACTTTTCCCGCTGTTCCCTTGCCAGATGTTGGCATGGGAAAATGGACTTGGAGGTCCTTTTCAGTTGAAGGCTAGCTCAGACCACCAGACTCCTGGCCTGGGACCCTGTCCTACCAACGTCCCCTTAGATCCCTGTCACTAGCTCTGTATGCCAGCCCCACAACCCTGTGCTTTGCCAGTCCTTCTTTGGGGGACATTCCTGGGGTGCTCAAGTGGCCCCATGGGAAATGCATGATGGCTTGCAGCCAGTGACTGGCTGGTGCGAGGCTGCCGCACACAGCCCCCTGGATACCGGCAGGACAGACTCTGAGGGGGACTCATGCTCCAGTGCTCCCTGTGGGGTCTGCCTACATCTGGGGCTTCTCCTGGAATCACACTTTTGCTTGGCTTCCTTCTTTGTGTTTTCTGTCCTGCTTCTTCTAAACCCTTGGTGGGGTGTGTGTGTCTGTGGGTGCCCGCGTGCATGCACAGGTGTATTTGAGAATTTCCTTAATCAATCAAAATCTAATTCTAAAAAAAAAAAAAAAAAAAACAGAACCGAGACACTAAGAATAGCTTTTAGCATCACAAGACCTGCCCTTAAACTCTAACTGTAATACCCACCAGCTGTGTGACCTTGGAGACAATTTCCCTTCCCTCTTACCTATAAAGTGAAGATAATAGTGTCTGCCGCTGGGCTGATCGTGGTGCTGACACAGGTTAACTGGTGTCAAGTACCCGGCACCCCCTTCCTCACTCCCTGAGTGCACAGTTCCTGAGCACCCTGGGCCCCTTTTCCGTGTGAAAGCTGTGTCCATGCACTTCAGATAAACTCTCCGTGTGTCTCAGTCAATAGAGGATATTAGCAAATGCTTAGCCAAGTGTTCTGGCTGCATTTACTCCCACATCCACCGCCATAAAAAGTAAACAGCAGAATAAATTGCCTGTCTGCTGCCATCAATCACAAATACAATCTTCGCCCACTGTAACACAAGGCAAATACAGTAATGACAAAATCTATAGCTAGGGAAATGATAGAGTGGCGGCCCGGATTTTCCTCTCTCCACAGCGCCGGTCCATGATCTATTATTTAAATGCACAGGGAGCATCCACAGCGATCAATGTGTTGCCTGCCTTCCTGCCTTCACTGTCACAGGGCAGGCTGGTTGCTCGGGCCTCGAACTTAGGGCCTCTGCGTGGCATGC